CTCTAGCTGCACAAAAATAACATAAAAATTTGAAGACATGATATAGCTCAGTTTTTTTTTTGAAAAATACATATAGATATTAATTGGTAATTGATAGATGGCTTCACTATTATTGAAGATATTTTGTTTAGGTTAGTAGTAACAATATTAAGCATGGAAAGTGGTTTTTGACACTATTTAAAATAGTTACCAGGTTAAGAGCTGAATTACATTTGTACTGAATCTGCCAGCCCTGGTTATACATGTTCTGGGCTGGTCTGCGTGTTTTGTTTTTAAAAAAAATATATTTTTATTGATTTCAGAGAGGAAAGGAGAGAGAGAAAGAGATAGAAACATCAATGATGAGAGAGAATCATTGATTGGCTGCTTCCTGCACGCCCCCCTACTAGGGATTGAGCCCACAACCTGGGCATGTGCCATTGACTGGTATCGATCCTGGGACCCTTTAGTCCAAACCAGCCAGGGCACTGTGTATTTGTATATGTGAATGTGTCAGAGCTGGGAAGTTTTATTTCTAATATTTAAATCTAGACTTAGACTTGGTGACTCTGAAAAATCTAGTGACAAACCCTATTCCTAAGCTATGCTTATTTAATCAGACACGTAGCTCATTTCTGAGAGTTGAGGCTGTGGAGACTACCCAGACTGCAAGCAGTTGATATTCTGTGGCATTATTCAAAGAGGAATTGGCCACTTTACCTTTATTAAGAATGTTTGCCTATGAAGGAATTTCCATATCTTGGGATTTCAAATGACAAAAAAGGATATGTGGCCTAAAAGCCACAATACAAAATTTCTTTCCTCATAATTGTGGTTTATATAGACCTTAAGAATATCCAAAACAAAAGTTGGCATTAGAATCCCATGAGTTGCTTGATAAATAAAACATTCATTACAGTCTTATTTCCTTCTCTTCAATACTAATAAAATGATTTTGTGTTCTTTTCAGTCCATAGATAAATTATATTTAGTTTATATTTCCATGCATATAAATTAGGAAAGAGCAGTCAATATTTGTAACATTTTCTCCCATTAAATTCATGTGTATGGAAGCTATTTTAGCTTTTGTTCTTTTTTACATTTGTAATATAACTTTATGTGGGCCTTAATTATTCTTTTCAAATGCTTGCATCTTATGTTGTTTTCTAGGCAGCTCCAGGACACTGTGTGTGTGTGTGTGTGTGTGTGTGTGTGTGTGCACATGCTCTTTCATGAATTTTATCACTAGATGGTGATAGAGGGCTGGGGAGGTATGCTAAACAAGTGCTTCTATGAGATGGCTTGCATTCTGTTGAAATGTGAAAATCTTAAGAAATATTTACTTTTAGAATTCACTTAGGGATATCAAAGATTATTTTAAGTATCATGTTGAACACAATTTATTTTTAACATGGTAAATGCCTAATAAATATTTATTGATTTATTAGCTATCTTTTTATATCCTGGGAGAAATATTTATAAAATTTCAGCGGTCCAAAAGCTTTATTTTGTCCTTGTTTTCTAAATTTTTTCCTAACATGTCATATTTCTTTAGTTTTCCCTAATATATCACTTTTCCCTGTGTCTATCAGAAAATTTCTTTTTGTTTAGGCTCTTATGCACACATGCATATACCTGCCAATACACAATTTTGCTTTAGCTGTATAATCTAAATTTATGAATTTTCCTAGTTAGCATTCCCTGAAAGCTTTAGTTGAGGAAACCTATTGTAGTACTGTTTGGAAATGAGAATAGAATAGTGTGAATAGGATAATGAATACAGAGTGTAAGACATACACCAAAAGATACTCTACATATCAGTTTCATTGAATGTAAGTTTTAGAAAAAGTAGAAAAAAAATATTTTTTTAAGTTGTCTGAATATGTTTCGCAAGGGCATACAGGAAAAACAACTATGTTATTTATTACTTCCTGAGAGGATCCTGCAATATTGAATATTATCCCAAAGCTCCGTGTAAGAAATGTTAGATTTCAGGTTATTTCCAAATTATCCATTAATTTAAAATTTTTTCAATACTAATGTATGTTGTATTAGCTTCTAACATGAGCAAATATTTAATATTCCTATTGATAATATTTTATCATGTAAATAATTTATTCTTGGTTGACCAGAATGAATAACTTTTGAGACCACAGTATGGGCCTTGATGTGAAATATAAGCAGTATGATTTTGGTATTTTTTGTAACACAATTTATTTATTTTTATTGGGGATAGTATTATAAGATGTTCCATTAATACAATAATGTAATCCTATATAATAAAACCCTAGTATGCAAATCAACCAAATGGTGGAAGGACCAGTGGAATTGATCACTATGATGCACACTGACCACAAGGGACAGACATCCAACACAGGAGCTGCCCCTGGTCTTGGAGGCAGGTGACTGGTGGTAGCGATATGGGGCGGGGGGAAGGACAGAGCCTGCCAGCTAGTGCCCTGTCAGTCACCTCCCATGGCAGTGATGAGGGGGAGTGGGACGCGAGGCAGCACCAGGCCACCAGCCAAGGCAAGTGCCAGCAGGGCTTTCTGGTCTCCCCATTTGTTGGTCACCCCACAGATGACCCTGATCACAGGCCAGGCCTAAGGACCGTACCCTATATATTGGGAACAGTCTCTTAGATTTAAAAATTAAAACCTGGCAAGGCTACTCTAACACTGAAAAAACAGGATGATGGAGCGATGACATGCATGGACTCTGGCTTGCACATTTTGTGGTCAGCCCTGATTCTGACACTTAAAACTGTGCGACAAAGCCAATTACTTAAACTTTTCTCTGCTTCAGTTTTTCCACCCATAAGGTGGGGAAAATGGTCCTACTGCCTCAGAAGGATCATGTTATGTGCTACTTTATATAATCAGGGCAAAAAAATTTACATATATATATATATATATGGCTGCCATACATCAAGATGCCTTTCACCTGTATGAAAAGTATGGCCACTGGTGTACGCAGCGTCTGAGATTGTGAGAAAGATGTACGACTGCTAGTTTAGGCACAACACTCATCCCAGGGTCCCAGATTACCAGAGGACACAAACCAAGCTGAGGGATTCCCTCCCTCCTCCTCACCCCCATCTGCACAAATTTGAAAGAGCACAAATTCTAAGTGTAAGAATTTCGTGCACTGGTACTCTGGTTTCAGAGAATAAAATCACTATAACATTAAATGTGCCCTCTATATAGTGTTCCAATTATAGAATCATTAAAATAATTTGAAATATTTTAAAGACTTCAGAGTTGAGGTCTGGGGGTAGAGATGTATTTGATAAAGTTCAGAGTGCTAAATGGAGCCATTTGATGCTGCTATTAAAGAGGGTAGATTCTTAGTTATGGGGTTCTAAGTGATTGTGCATTTATATGTCATACATGCACACCTTCATACTCACATAGTGAAGAGGATAATATTGTTTTTGAGGTGTTTGATCGGGAGCTGCGATGTCATGGAAAGAAATAGGAAATGGAGGGATAGGATGTTATGCTGAGGGTTTTTTTCTGCACCCTTCACTTTATATATTATAGATCACCTGCATTACTCATTCTCGGTAATATGGGGAAGTTGGAGAAAATAATTAGCCTTTCAGACTTCTTTCACATTAGCTGGTGTAAAACATGGCATTCTTTACTAGGTAGTAGCATACAGTTTGGGGAGGGAAACAGCTATTCAAATAACCAAGTGAGGTGAATATATTCACGTTTTGAAGTGCCCCTGAAATTCCTGGAATTAAGATCTTGATGGAGAGATGGATACTTGGATAGAGATCCTCAGATAATTCTTTTAACTCCTTCACTACCAACCCCTTTGCCAAATCTGACTCACCTTCTAGATAATTAGCAGTCCCCAAATTCTGTTCTTATACCTTCTGAGGATTATCATTGTTTAGCCAAGTTATTCTTGTTCCCTCTTTTGCGTACCTTAGTTTTTTAGAATTTTGCGGACTGTTTAAAATAGTTTAAATAAAGTATTGTTCTTTTATATATACGGGAGTGTGTTTATCTCTGTTCACAGTAATGTCCTCTTGTCAGCAAATGTGTCACCAGGACACCCCTCTCCCCCTTTTCATGCTTCCCCAGCTCCTTATCAGCCTTAGCAACAAACCAGGCACTTGAGCCATAATGGAGCAACTGGAGGCTTTGGAGTGAAAGCTCAGGGATTTATCTTAAAGGGAAAATATTGTAAGATTTAGAAGATTGCTTATACTTTTTGCCCTTGATTTATTGAACTCTATTTTTCAACCTAAGGTTATTAAATGAATGATATTATTAAAGCTTGAAAAAGAAGACTCTATTTCAATAATCATTTTTCTAAAAATTGGCTTTTGATAAACTATATATATACAATTATCAGTGAAGCTTCCATATTCTCTTCTCTACCCTCAGCATGAGAATTTAAATGCAGAATAGGTACGTAATAATGACAAAGTTCAGTGTTTCACCCTAATATTCAGCCACTTTTCTTTCTCTCAAATAGCCTAAGTTTAAAATCTGTTAATTGAATTCAATCTTTCAAATGCAATACTTTAAAAATGTTATCAAACCTTTGCCCAACTACCACTCCCCTCACACTACACAAATTTTAAAAACATGCATATAATATTAATAAATACAGCAAAAGGATGATGGCCAAAGGCCCTACTTATGGTATTCATAGACTGAATCAATATTAACTCCATTATGTAAATGAGCTGTGTTGAAAACAGCATTTTCTTTCCCTAAACTTTAGGGCCAGGCCGAGTTCTCTTCTGCATTTTCTGTTCGCCCCTAAGTGGCTGCAGAGCAACAGGGCGTCCGGGAAGGTGGCCGCTGTGCCCACCCGTTGCTGCAGCTCTCTCTGCCTCTGCCCCTTCATCTCTGTCCCAAACCCTCCTCTCAGCCTTACACTACCTCTTTATTACCTCACTTTTTGGTCTGCCTTAATGATTTTTGTCGTTTCAAATTATACCCAGATTTCATACCATTTTAGTTCTCTTTTTATCCATATTTTGATGGTCAGAAGCAAGGTTAATCAAAAGAAACATTTATTTGCAATTTGTACATATCAACTTCAACAAGCAAGGGGAGATCTCCTTGCCTTTAACAACTACACATCAGTATAGTCATAATATATACGGACTTCTGATCTTCTGACACTTTGCAGTGACCTGATGCTTTCACTCCTGGTTCTGATATTTGATTTCTTGAATAACCTTCTTGAAAATGACCTACACATGAAAAAGTAAATTATTGGGTCCAAGCACACATTGCACGCAGACAAGAAAAGTGTCATTTCTCTGCAGTAATACAGGATTTTGTGTGCGTATTCATCTAAATGTCTGTCTAAGTTACTAAAAGTAAAAGGAATTCTGCACAAGTGGTATGGCAGAAAGCAGGTGAAAAACACAGCCACCACCACCCTAATGCTCTGGTTATGCTTCCGCTTCCGGCTTGACTGGCTGACGAACTGCCTGCTGGACTTGTGGATGTACCTGGATATGGCTATGTAACATCCGATCAGGATCACCAGTACAGCCACAAACAAGCAGCTTTTGAGGTAAATGACTACATTATGCCATTGGACTCCCAAGGGACTCTTAAGTTTCATGCAGTTATAAATATTTTCTTTAGTTGGTTGAACGTCTGTTAGGATGATGTTTGGCAAGGCCAAAGTAGCCATGATCACCCACACGCAAATGGATAAAACCTTCGTAAAGGTTATGCTGTACATGCGAGAGTCCCCGAAAGGCTTCACCACCTTCAGATAGCGATCAATGCTGATCAGTCCAAGAAACACGATGGAAGTATACATGTTTGCATAATACAACACTGAAGTGTATCTGCAGAGGATGGCCTTGAAGTACCACGGTCCCAATCCTATATCATGGACTATTCGAAATGGAAAAGTCAGCGTCATTATGAGGTCAGCAACCACTATGTTTTTGAGATAAAATATGAAGCTGGTTTTATTCCTAATGTGGAAGAAGATCCACACTGCTAGACCATTCAGCAAGATGCTCGCCACGAATAGAACGAGGTAAAGCACGGGCATGATGATGGTGTCGAACTCGTTGTTAAGGGTGGTGTTCCTTCCGAGGCCATCGCTGGCATTACTGGGGACGCGGCTCCCTTGGCTGAGCAGCTCGGTATCTGCGGGAGAAGCGCACACGTCACTGCAGTGCTGCACAGATGCTTACAGCTGCCTGGCCTCTCTCACAGCAGAGCCGCTGCCATTGGGGAGACTTGGAAAATGTCTTCAGTGATGGAAGTGTCAGTTTAGTGCACTGTTGATATTGTGAGTGGCTACAGAATTGTTGGCCTCATCCCTAAATCTGCCCCTGCCCCATTGTCCCTTAAGTGAAGTGTGATATTTCTGGTTCTCTGTGCTGTTTGAAAATGAAAATTAGCATGAATTTTAAACCAGTGTTTGATATCCTTACAAATAGACCCAATACAATCTGAGGGCAGAAAATTGAAATTTCATATAATAAGGAAATAAAATAGCTAGCACATGGTTGTTGTTTTTTTTAATATGGTCTTTGGCATTTTCTGAACTATCATTTTCTCTTTATCATTTTTAAGTTTTATGGGTTTTTAAATAAGTTTGACTTTATAAAATTTTTATTTATTGATTTTAGAGGTAGGGAGATGGGTGGAAGGAAAAGAGAGAGAGAGAGAGAGAGAGAGAGAGAGAGAGAGAGAGAGAGAGAGAGAGATTTTGTTGCTGTACCCATTCATGCATTCACTGTGTGCCTCCTGCATGTGCCCTGACTGAGGATCAGGATGATGCTTCATCCAACTGAGCTTCTAGTAAGGGCCAGTTTTAAGTTGTTTAATTGTTAAGAGAAAAAGGAAAGCTAGTGGGTCATTTTGAATTTTTTTGCTCATGACTTTTTTATAGTACTTAAGAAGCTTTAGGGACTGTTTTTAGGAATAGAATTAAGGAGAACAACTTGTTAAAAATAGGTGTAGGTCAAACCAATGATTGCCAAATGAGAGGAAGGTTGGCAGCTGAGGGGGCAAGTGAAGGAATTGCTGGCATTGCTCAGTGGTTAGAGTGTCAGCCCTGTGCATGGGGGGGATCTCGGGGTAGGTATCTGGGTTTGTAGACTTTATCCCTGACCCCTATCCAGGTATGTATAGGAGGTATCCAATCAATGTGTCTCATATCAGTGTTTCTCTATCTCTCACCTCCTCCCTTGCACTTTCTTAAAATAAAAACTATAAAAAGGAAGAAATACCAATTGGTAGTTACAGAATAGCCACAGAGATGTAAGGTACAGCATAGGGAATATAGCCAATAAAATTGTAGTACTAACTTATATGGTGGGGCGGCGGGGGATTTTCACTATGTAAGTTGTATAAATATCTAACCACTATGCTGTATACCTGAAATTAAGATAACATTGAATGTCAACAATAATTGAAAAATTAAAAAAATAGTTATAGGCTGGTATCTGTATTTATTTATAAGATTTTATCTATGGAACTTAGATGAATCCTTTAAACCTTTTACTATTGGGAGATTTTTAGTTTTCAGTTCATATGTAAAACCATATACAAAACCCTCTGTCACATAATCACTGAGATGGTTTTTGAGCATTAGATTTATGTGACAATGACGAAAGGAGCCTCTGGGGTCTCCCGCAGAGCGTTTAATTGATGAGCAGCTCTGGCTCAGTGCTCTGACCCCAGCACGTGTCCTTGCTGATGCCACACTTCCCGTGCACTGCCACCACCATGCTGAGCACAGCAAGGGAATGAGGGCCAGCCTGTCCTGGGACAGGAGTGGCTTCTGACAGTGAGTAGCTGGAGGACTCAAAACCTGAACTAATACAATTTTATTTTATTAACCTTTATTTTTTGGTGAGTTCTTACCCGAGGATATTTTTTTCCATTGAATTTAAGAGAGAGTGAAAGGGAGGGGGCGGGGAGAGGAAGACACATCAATGTGAGAGAGACACACCGTTTGGTTGCCTCCCACACACGCCATGACCAAGACCAGGGATCAAGCCTGCAACTGAGGTATGCGCCCTTGACTACAATCAAACCCCAGACTCTGAAGTCCATGGGCTGACGCTCTATCCACTGCACCAGACTGGCCAGGGTCTGAACTAACACACTTTTAAAATGAACTTTTTAGATGTAAAGTTACAAGGAAGGTCATTTCTGCGTTTTTACTTGTCATTAATTTAGTTTACCAGTTGTCTTTTGGAGTGATTTTGTGCTAGAGTAACTGCATGAACTTGGCTCTCATTTCCCTCCATGAGAAGCACTGTAGTATATATGTTGTTGTTGGTTCCCTTCTTTGAAGAAGTGAAACAGGGAAGGTCTGATGATTATAATCCAAAAACAGGTTCTTAAATTGCTGCCTGAAATTTAAGTGTATGCTCTTCGTGAGTATTCTTGCCCTCTTTCTAATTCATTCCCTTTTATTCCCTGCTATAAGTGTTTGTAAAAACTGGTTTTCCTGGCTTAAATATCTTTACACAGGCTTGTAATTTACACCTGGGCCGGCCTGTGTTGACAATACCCATAAGCTTTATGAGTGCAAATGCCTGATTCAGCTGCCATCTGGGTTCTGGTTGCCAGTTTCAGATAGTGCCTTGAACAGATCATTGGAACCTGTTTGACATAATGAAGTGTTCAGTCTTGGTGGCTATGCACCCCAAGATCCACATTAGGGTCAATGCCTTAGGAGCTCCTTAACCTGTGCAGTTTCACCTGGGTTAAGATATCTGCTTGGATTAATTTCCCTAATTAAACTGTTAGCTATCACTTTCATCTAACCCAGACTAGATGCCTAGGAAAGGGGAGAGAGGATAAGTGGCCCAGCAGAGGGATGCAGCCTGAAAAGAGCTATATCATCTCCTGGAATGGTAGCTATACTTGAAACAATTGTTGAGTGGTTTTCAAAACTATGGTAGATCCTAATCGGATGGCACACTAACTGTAGCATACTAGGCATGGCCCAGTTCGGCCCCAGTGTTTGTGCATTGGATCCACTCTGCAGGTCCAGTGTGGAAGGGAAGGAAAAATCCCTCCCTGATTGGTCAGAGACTATGCATATTCAGTTTATCATCGTAGCATTTCAAAGTTCTGGTTGTCTACACAAGCACTTATAGTAAGTGATAATTTACTGATCAATCACAGTGACTATTAAATACAGAGTCTTAATCAGAATGGTAGAAACAACCCTTTTCTGTACTCTGCCCTGTGCATGCAAACTCCCGCACAAACGGCCTGGCTGTGCCGAGGTCCTGAACTGCCTGGCAGCTCCGAGGCAGCCTCCTGTTCAGCTTGGGGGCTGTGTCCCTCACAGCATTTGCCTCCTCAGCTTGTGTCTGGGATCAGTGTTTCTAAATACAGGACTTCTGCAGTCCGTCGGGTGGTCTGGGCTTGGTTATGATTTCATTCACAAGTTCCACGTAAACAGTGCAGCTTAAATCATTAATGTCTGTTATGGGTCATTTTATGAAATAATATACTAATGGAAAGAAAAAATGGTTCCTAAAAAACAAGAAAAGCCATGTGTGGGCAGCTCTGGAAAGCTTTAAACTTAATAGAGAGTTTTGTTTCAATTTTTTTTTTAGAACTAAATCTGGGTCATGTTGTTTTTCTGCCAGCTGTACCACCATCATTTCTCCCTTCTGTGTGGGGCCCCAAGCTCCCTGCCCACACCGTTTCTATCTTCTGCGTAGGGCCCCGGGTTTCCCGGCTTGTGTGTGTGCTCAGGGGCGTGTCCCTGCACTGCTCCTGCTCAGGAGCACTGGCATGGAAAGGAGTGGCTGCCTCACCCAGCAGTATTACCCTGCCAACTTCACTGTCCATAGAGAATGCGACCAGATAAGGGAACATTTTTAATGTCACGTAGCTTGGTGATTCAATTAAGAGGAACTATTAGAAGCTGTTGTTACAGGGAAGGCTCTTTTCTCACTTGCTTCTTATTTATTAGTATAGACTTTGATGCAGAGTGATAATTGAGGGTAAAAATTTCTTTGTTATTCTTTCCCCTGCTCCTCTCCTCCATCTCCTTTTACATTAAATTAACAATGACTTAGGCACTGGAGTTCCATAGTAAATTAGCTTTTGTGCCAGTGTATGTGTGAGTGGTATTGGGGTATGTGCGTTGGGATGGGGACTGAGGCCGCCTGTGTTTATGTGAAAGGGGGTCTGTGTGTATCTGTGTGCTGGAGGAAGGCATAGGATTTGCCGCCAGATAGAGCATTAACTGCATGTAGTGACTGTACCAGACAGTGCATGTGAAGGGAGTTTTCATCATTGAAGAAAGTCCTACTTGGCAGTGCTGGCTTTGTCACTTCCTGACTGTAAAATGGCATAGAGATTAATTTGGCTAGACCGTCTAAAAGTGAAATAGCCTGCAAACATGTTGTGCACAGTATCTAGTACCTAGGTGTTCGCTCTCTAACTCAGGCACTCATTACAATCTGTCCCATTAGTGGCAGTCGCATGAGGAATGATAGAAAGAGTGGTGAGAAATCATGGTCCTTTTGCTTTCCGTGAAGCTATATTATTGTTCATTGGGGTGTGTCACTCTTGGCACAGAATGAGAAAGTATCAACCACATGTCACTGGTGCTCTCTAGCTAGGTAGGAATGAAATACTAAAGTCTCAAAAATTATAGGGTGTTACTACCATGGTACACTGCCCTCCCATGCACAATCATTTTCTAAATAGTTACCCAGTACAATGGTAGATGTTGCCTTTGGCCTATAGTGAACCTTGGTTTAAAGTAATATGTACTTTAGCTGAGGTATTAGCTTCCGCAGCTGTTACTAATTTAATCTTTCTTGTCCTTTTAGATGGTCTCTGGGTGAAACAAAGGTTAAAGTGAAGGGATAGCTAGTTACGTGTTCCTCAGTGATGCCATCCTGCCTGGGTGCTGCTTTATACTTGATGGAGGACAAGGCTAAATGCTATTTATGTTGTTAGTTGGTTTAGTTACCTATAAACCCCCAAATTGCCAGATAGTATGAAGAAGCTATTGATCAAGTACTTCACAGTTTTCCCTATGGCTTACCTGGTAATTTTGTAAATGTCAGGTTGAACCCCATTCTTTAGTTATGATGGGCTGTCAGCAAAAATACGTGTCAGGAAATACTGGGGGATGGTTGAGGTAAGGGTTCAGC